CAAAATACTACAAACATATCTCACAAAATCACGATCATTAAATTAAAATATATTAAATTAAAAACTACTTAAATATAAATAAGCACATACATTAAATTAATAAAAATTAGATTACAATCCTAATTACTTTAACTAAATCATTGCTAATAACAATTTTCCAATAATCCATTTTAATTTATTTATTCCTTACATTTAGAACAATGCATAAAAATAATATACTCAAATGATTAAAAATAATAACTTACCTAATCTTCTTCAGAATCTTCATTACGTGGCACACACACTTCCTTACAGAAAGAGTTCCAATCGGCTGCAGTGTTACTGCTAATTTCTAAATTCGAAATCCAGTAGTCAACTTATTATTAATTATTACGGTATTAAAAATTTAGAATTCACTTTACATAGCGCCATGCAATCCGAAAATCAATCAACACTATTTCACACAACGCACAATGAAGCTTAATACAAAATAATTTTTCCAAATTTACTCCCTTTTCCAATTAAAGAACTGTAATTCGTCCATTAATGTCACATGACATATCTCATGATCTCTCATTTCCCTCACACAAAATAATGCGTAATCGGAAGTGAGTGCTTCTCACATTATTATCAAAGTCCTAGGTAGTAACCTCTATCGCCTCCAAAATGTCGCCAAACTACCTGTTACCATATTCCAAAGATCAGCCGCAGATGATATTTGTATATAGAATATTATGAAGATTATTTATGTAAAAAAATATTTGTCTGCATCAATAATTTTATTTATAATAATTAGTCTCGTACGTGAAGCAAAATTTTCTACCAGATATTTTTGGCGAAAAAATTCAACGAACTAATTGCTGCCTTTAGGGGTGATTTATTTTCCCCCAAGTCACTGCTTATCAAAACATTTCATCTGTTTGTGTGTCTGCTGAGATGGAAGGGAAATTAGGTGTTGCATTGGTACAACGCAAGCAGGAAAAGGGTATTCCCCTTTTTTACTCATGATTTTCAATGATCTGGTTGACATTCATTCCATGCTTTAAAAATGCCTAGAACAAGGTACCTTACTTACCCTTTAAAGACTTTTTGATAGAAACAGATGATAATAATGACCGGAATGACACTGATATTGTTGTTTCAACAGAGAAGCTAGTAATGAAGAAGAAGGGAATGATAACGTTTTGCATAATGATATTTTACCAAACGATACTGCTGGGGCACAGTTGAAGTTCACATAAGAAGTAAGTTTCAGCCTTCTAAAAACAGTGCTAGTCATATGAAAAAGTTTAAAAACCATAAAACTTGAAATAGGTAAAAAAGGAAACATAAATTATGATTTCAGCTTCTCTGTCATCTAAAATAAAAAGATTTCAGGGCTACAGGAACACTTCAAGAAAACTGCATACAAATATGCCGACTAGAAATGGTATGTGTCTATAAGAAAGATAGGTGTTATTATGATTTGCATTACGAAGAGGGGGAAAAAATGTTTATTGCATGGAATGACGATTTGGTTGTTACTGTTGGTTCAACATTTGGAAAAATTCAGCCCGTAAAAAAATATTGGTTGATTTTTACATTATGGTAACTTGGCGATTTTTTGGCAAAAATTTGGCGACCAACTCTCCTACAGCAACCCTCTATTTTTTTTCCCCCGCCGCCATTTTGTCTTCACGAAGTAAAGACAAGTTTCTTTTCTTTTTATCTACTGAACACTTCTTCCAACAATCCACTAGCCAAATTACACTTATGCTAGAAATTTTATCAAACAAAACTGCTTAATCATGACAAATATTCACTGCAAAATTGGGAAAAAGTGCACAATACCATCCTCCTTACGCGTTTTTCAAAATAACACATACGCATAAACCATGTACACAAATACACGCCGACTTAGTTTTTACTTAAAAAAACATCCCAGAATTGCATGCACAAAATGGCATTGCGCACACTCTTCACTATATCCATGTACACTGCTTTTTCTCATAAATTAGAAAAATTTCACAAAAATACATGACACTTTTCTCAATCTTTAAAACCCAGTAAAAAGAACATATATGAAATTACCTGATAGCGAAAAAGTATTTACCCTTTCCAAATATGAACATTTCCACATATAAATAAATAAAAATATCCAAAAACTTTTACCTCCAAATCATCTATTACATTATACACGTCACCAACGAATTCATACCGCAAGCATTACAAATACTTAGTATCAAATATTTAAATTATTTCCATGCACGTTTACTTCAACTAAAACGTATACCAAATTCCTACAACATAAAATTCACAAATAACTATCATTTAATTAAAATATCACTAACCATGTACACACGTCGACTTTATTTTTACTTAAAAAAACATCCCAGAATTGCAACAAAATGGCATTGCGCACACTCTTCACTATATCCATGTACACTGCTTTTTTCTCATAAATTAGAAAAATTTCACGAAAATACATGACAATTTTCTCAATCTTTAAACCCGGTAAAAAGAACATATATGAAAATTACTTGATCGCGAAAAAAGTATTTACCCTTTACAAATATGAACATTTCCACATATAAATAAATAAAATCCCAAAACGTTTACCTCTAAATCACCTATTTATTATAAACGTCACCAACGAATTCATACCGCAAGCATTACAAATACTTAATACCAAATATTTAAATTATTTCCATGCGCGTTTACTTCAACTAAAACGTATACCAAATTCCTACAAACATAAAATTCAAAATAACTATCATTTAATTAAAATATAATTAAATTCAAAACACTACTTAAAATATAAATGAGCACATACATTAAATTAATAAAAATTACCTTACAATCCTAATTACTTTAAACTAAATCATTGCTCATAACAATTTTCCCAATAATACCAAATTCCTTTACTTCCACCTTACATTTAGAACAATGCATAAAAATAATATCCTCAAATAATTAAAAATACTAATTTACCTAATCTTCTTCAGAATCTTGATTACGTGTCCGATACACTTTTCTTCTTTCTGTTTCAGAATCTTTAAAATCATACTTATATTTCACAGCAAGATACCAGGTAAAATAAATAACATAATAAAACATCTTTATTTCTCTCTCGCACAACCTTAAAGAAACATTTATTACTACCCTTTTCAATACCACTAAATACCCATTTCGAATTCACTTTAGTTACGGCCATGGGATCCAAAAATTAACAAACACTGTTTCACACAACACAGAATAAAGCCAAATACAAAATTTCCAGATTTTTTCCCGATTTCCCCCCCTTTTCCGATTAAAGAACCGTAATTCGTCCATTAATATCACATGACATATCCCATGATCTCTCATTTCCCTCACACAAAATAATGCGTAATCGGAACTGAGTACTGCTCACATTATTACCAAAGTCCCAGGTAGTAACTTTTATCGCCTCCAAAATGTCGCCAAACTACCAGTTACCATATTGTAAAGATCAACCAAAATATTTTCTGTCATTCAAGAATGCAAAGGAAAAAGCTTTTTGTATCTCAGCCTCATCTAATTTAACAATACAATGTGAAAATGATAGGAGTCGATTTATGCAACAATTTAGTAGCCAATAACAAAATAAGAGTTTGTGGCAAAAAACGGTGGTGGCCAACATTTACTAATTACACTGATGTATCCTTGACAAATGCATGAAAAATATCACGACTTTCTACTACCGGAAATAAAAAGTTTCTTTTAGATTTCAGACACGAGATTGCATTATTTCTTTTGTAATCCCGTACTGAGAAGAATTAGCGAGAAATATAACCGCTACAGGAAGACCTAGTAAATTCAGCATTCAAAGCCATTGCATGGAGATGGTAGACATTTTATCGTAAAGTCTGAAGACAACAGAAGTTTTCGTTGTAAAGAATGCCATAGCCAGACTGTTTATAGAAACAGCATTTAATGTAGCTTTACATCATGATTATAATAAAGCTTTTTATTCATGAAACTTTCAAATGAAAATAATCTGCATTTGTAAAATAAATAGAATGTAAAATTAATTATAAGTGATTTGTAGATTTATAAAATGCTATACAGCCAAAAAGTAATGCAGTGCTCTACTCAAAAAAAACACACAGTACAATCAAACTCACTAAATATCCGCATTCTTATTCTGCCGACACTGACGAATGAAACACTCGATTTTTCCACACGTGAGTGCATTTTTAAAAAAAAATTTCAGTGTAAAATTATGTTACAAATATTTAATTTAATTTTTATTGCTATTTGTATAAAAAAAATTACTCCTTGTAGTTTTGGCAGGTAAGAAGTTAATTTTGTGCTACATATTTTTATTTTTGTCTTGCTTGCTCTAGTTGCAGTTGTCTTTGTAATATGTCATTGGGGGGGGGGAATTATTCTAAATTTTATATTAATCATTTTCATATATATATATGCAAGCATGTTTCTGGAATAAAGTATCCCTCAAATACTGCAAGCTTAAAATCTAAATTTGTAACATGCAAATTTTAAATATTCCTACAGACATACATGGTGGTCATTTTATAGAAGTACAGGTGAGATTCTGTCCAGAATATTCATTCTATACGAGACTTAGAAGGTGTAGAATATAGAAGAACTATATACTAACGAATAACATACTAACGAATAAACGGTACTCTTCTGTTATCAAGACCGGATTCAGAAGTGTATGTATGTATGCACGTTTGTACATATGTATGTGTATGCACACGTACATACTTATATACACACATACATGAATACATACATCCAATACACACATACATTTCTGAATCTGGTCTCGATAACAAAAGAGTACCTAACAAACACACAGATTCTTACAGAAATATAAGATAGCACCTTATTAAGAAGTTTAGAACTAAAAAGAAGGTAGAAATTTGCTTTAGCTATGAGAGATTACAAATAATTAATATTAGCAACATTAACAAACTAAAATCAATCAAAATTAAGTTTAAAAACAAAGAAACTTTACCACATAAAATTTTAGAAAAAATAAAAACTGAATTTACCTGTTTTTTCTTTTGAACTAGCCTCCAATTTGGTTTTAAAATTTGAAGCATTCAATAAACCAGGCTTAGGTGGATTCACAGGTTTCCCAACAGATTTTTGACCAGCAATGCTTGGTTCGAGCATTATGTCATGAAATTTCTTTTCCTTGGTATTATATTTTTGGAGTTTTTTCTTTCTTGAGCGAGCCTTTTTATTCTGTACAGCATCATTCTGTTTACAAAATGACGGATCAAACCCATTACTAATGGTGTAATTTTGAGAACTACGAGATGTTTCAGGCAATGGATTTTCGGGCATGCTCAGAAAATTTGGAGAATTTTTTATTTCTTTTGATATATTATCCAATAACACTGAAATCACTGGTTTCTTTTCTATATCATTGGGAGTATCATGATCTTCATGTTCTGGATGAGGTAGCCTTGCTGAATTGCTATTCAAAACCAAATCTGAAGAACTGAAATTTGTATTCTCTAAATGCTCAGCAGCAAAATTTGTTAAAACATTTAAATCAATCAATTCACTAACTCCAGTTTCATTATTTAACTTTTCAGTTTTAGATGGTAAACTACAAAATGCAGAATTCGCTGTTTTTACACCCAGCTGTGTCTTTTCTTCTATATTTGAAACAAGATATTTGTCATCAATTGAAAATTTGTATGGATGAGTTTTAAAACTGGAATCATTTTGAAGTGGCTGATCATTTTGAAGTGGCTGATCCGTAACTTTATTTTTAAATAATAAGCCTTTTATACACTGTTCAATCTGCTTGCAATCTACAGTTGTCTCCATTTTAACCTGAATAAAACAAATAGGTCAAAATTAACAAAAAGTAATGAAAAATTTAAAGCAATTCATTGCAAATTATACTCAACACAGAAATGAAATAATACATATTGCAGAATTTCACAAAACTTATCACAATTATGTGTCATAAAATCAGGCACTATCAGAACAGACATTACAATAAATTTTTGGTATTCAAAAAGAAATGTGAAGCAATGAATATACTGAAACTGAAAAATAACAAAATTTTAAATATGCTTCACATTATCATATTATAAGATATTTCTCCCGCCATCTTAGCATGCCTTTGTGGTGTAATGGCCAGCACACTCGGCGCATATTTGAGAGATCCAAGGTTCGAGTCCCAGCGAAGGCATTGCTCATTTTTCATGTCTCTGCTTCAAAATAACCTAATGTCTCCACAATATCATAAAGCTGAATTTCACTAACAAGTAAAGAAAAAAAGTACCTTCTGATATCTGTACCTCCTAGAAAAACAAGCTAACACATTAGTGAACAAGTTTGTTTGGCTAATCTATATATTCCAAATTTATATTTTTTACATTTCTACAGGCCGGGGTGGGGAGAGAAACTATTAGTTAACCCTCTGAGCGCCATGACCGGCTTTATCCGGTCATGAGATCTCTTGGTCACTTGTTATATATTACTTATAATTTAAAATATTTTACTTTCTTACTTCCATTAATAATATAAATGCCATCTTGATGAATGTAAGCTTATGTAAATAGAGACTAAAATTGGTAAATATACATATTTAGCTAATAAAGGCTCTTTAAATGCAGGTCTTAATGACAGATCCAAAAACCCGGGCCGCTCAGAAATTTAAGCCAATCACATGAGTTTTTCACAATGTTAATCCTTTATAATTCACTGACAAATACAATTTCAAATATTGATAACATAAATAGCATAATAATCATAACACTACATACAGAAACAAAAACTTATATACAAGAAAAATAACAGTTTACATTAACTTTTCAAATGAGATGACATTGTGTTAAAAAAATGTGTGACTTGACTCAAATTACTAAAGTAATAGACAAAATATAAGCTACATATATTAAAATAATCTTATGACTTTATTACATAAAACCTAAATATGCGATAACTCCAAAAATGATTAGAAACTAGCAATTTTTCCTTTTAAGGAATTTTACTTTAAGTAATAAAAATACAGTTCTTAATTATAACTCCGAAGCAGAATTAAATTTAAAAAATGCAAGCGAATGCTAACTCAAATATTAAAAAAAATTATCTGACTTACATAAATAATATTATCAATTTGGATTCTGTATTACTTCGAAACTAACCATTACGGCCTCCTTTACACGTACAAAATAAAATTGGAAATAATAATTAAGTACAATCGCGCCACTGATAATAAAACAAGCGTTGGAGATCAAGAAACAATTTGTATATTATTTTTAAAATTTTGCCGTCCTTTAATGTTTTCATCAAAATTTATTTGTTTGCTTCAATAGCAACAAACTCTGTTTCACTTCGCAAAAAATAACAGTTGCTGCCACATCAGTGAAGTAAAATAAATTATGGAAACGTAGAAAAATTTTTAAATTAAGGTCACGATGAAAACAATGTGGTCAAAGGTGGAATAATAATGATGATAATAACGTATAATTTTGTGAAATTTTAAAATGAAATTTTGAAACAATATAGTGAAGAGAGAAATAATAAGTGTTGTATTTTACACCCCATTGTTAAACGATAAAATTCATTTTACACAAGTATCATAACCAAAATTAACAAAGTTTCTTTTCAAATTTTAAATTAAAACATAGTGATTATGAAGCTTCGCTGATAATTTTTTAAGCGGCGAAGAATGTTTTCCTGAAAATTAACATATAAAGTGGCAATGATCGTATTGAGAATCCGTGAGGGAAACTAAATTCTGAAGTTTTGTAGTATTTCCTGACTTAATAAATAACCAGGGTTCACAGAGAGAAAATTAATACATTTTTTATTAAATTCGAAATGTTCGTAAGTTAGTAAAAGAAATATGAACATTTAAAATGACTGCTGAAAACACTGTAAAGGAAGTTTCGCACGGTCTTCCTATACATTATTCAGGAAAGTTCGTAGGGTGAGTATGAGCTCTGTACACTGAATCTTTTCATATTTAAATACGAGTCTATAGGCAAGATAAATTTTTGAAAAGCATTTATCGAAAATAAATTTGTGTAGTTCTTTGAACACTGTGACTAAAAATATCATAGTTATTAAACTTTATTAATATATGCCTAGCGGTCCACAATGTGCATCTTTTGATTATAATTTAAACTATCTTCTCAAAGAGGACTTCTAAAGTATTAGGTACTATTCTGTTTCGAGGGCCGGGTTTTCATCCGCAGAGAACCCGTTGGCGCCGTTCCATTTTTACTCGCCAAGCTCGCGTTTCATCGACGATGAGGCGAGCCGTAAACGTGATACTTTGTAAACGTGATTTTTAGTGCATCTAAATTCTAGTTAGCAGACTAGACAATATATTAAGCATATGGTAGTAAAAATTCACAGATAATAAGCATGTAGATGTAAAACTAACAGGTTAAACGTGATATACGGAAATAAATTGGTATTAAATTTAAACAGAAATTAATTATTAAATTATTAACAGAAATTAAATATTAAATTATTAACAGAAATTAATATATTAAGCATAAGACAATATATAAGCAATTATAACGGAAATAAAAATTCATTTTAAAAATATAAATTAGTATTAATGTACTGAAATTGACAATAATAAAAATAAAAGCATTACTTAATTATTTAAAATGCACATTTTTGCGGAGTACGAAAACGAATTATTTGAGCGTTTCGAAACCTCATGGTTCTGCGTGCGTACAGCTGTTAATAATTAAGAACACAACGTGAACAGCCGTGTTACAAATTAGCATTCACCCCTCCCGCTTTATTTTCTTCCTTTCATCCCGAACCGAGAACCGGGATCTATCTACGAAAATATTTCTATCTATTCGTTGTTAAAAAATTAAGAAAAAAAAGTAATAAATAAAAGAAGAATAATAGAAATCTGCAAATGCGAAGAACAACAGTGATAACGAAACAAAATGGACGCAAGATGAATGGTTGCAACAAGCGAATAGGTTGAATCCGTTGGGTTACCAGATTTTAACTATTATCGCCAAATTTGGCAATGTTTACATTCACCGGGTTCTCTCCGGAAGTGCTTCCAAATCGACAAATTATCGTTGATGCCAATGCTGCCAAAAAGAATTGCGGCAAGAAAGGAAGTATAATAGTAAATAACTATTTAAGATTGATGTTTTAATTTAGATTAATTTCATATAATACTTTATTTTAGGTTAATTTCATATAATACTTTATTTAGGTTAATTTCATATAATCTTTTTATTATTGTATTATATGAAAAAAGGCTAAACATGACTGAATGGAAGCATAAGAGTCAATAACTATTTCAGATCATTATTATAATTTATATAAAAATTGCTAAACATAACTGAATGGATGCCTGCATCGCTATTTCGCTACCGACTTATCGCTAAAGCCTAATTTCATCTCGTTGGTCGTTCAAACGTAGTTTTCTATAATGAATGATGCCTTTTCTTTTGAAATATTCTCGGTAAAGTGCAGAATCGCTTACTTATTTGTTTGCCGCTTTTTAGAAGGGTAAAAACAATTGGATTTTGTCAATTTTCTTTTACTTTTTATGTGAAAATAGGTCGATGTGTACATATATAAAGTCAAGGGTGTGCGCAGTGCCATTTTTGTCCAATTCTAGGATTTTTTAGTTGATCTTTAAATTATGGTAACTTGGCGAAAATTTGGCAACCAACTCTCCTACAACAACCGTCTATTTTTTTTTCCCGCCGCCATTTTGTCTGCACGAATTAAAAACATGTTTCTTTTCTTTTTATCTACTGAACACTTCTTCCAACAATCTACTAGCCGAATTACACTTATGCTAGAAATTTTATCTAACAAAACTGCTTAATCATGACAAATATTCACTGCAAAATTGGGAAAAAGTGCACAATACCGTACTCCTTACGCGTTTTTCAAAATAACACATACACATAAACCATGTACACGTCGACTTATTTTTACTTAAAAAAAAGCCCAGAATTACACAAAAATGGCATTGTGCACACTCTTCACTATATCCATGTACACTGCTTTTTTCTCATAAATTAGAAAAATTTCACGAAAATACATGACAATTTTCTGAATCTTTAAACCCGGTAAAAAGATCATATATGAAATTACCTGATCGCGAAAAAGTATATACCCTTTCCAAATATGAACATTTCCACATATAAAATAAATAAAATATTTAAAAACTTTTACCTCGAAATCATCTATTATATTATAAACGTCACCAACGAATTCATACCGCAAGCATTACAAATACTTAGTGTCAAATATTTAAGTTATTTCCATGCACGTTTACTTCAACTAAAACGTATACCAAATTCCTACAAACATAAAATTCACAAAATAACTATAATTTCATCAAAAACACTACTTAAAATATAAATAAGCACATACATTAAATTAATAAAAATTAGCTTACAATCCTAATTACTTTAAACTAATTCATTGCTAATAACAATTTTCCCAATAATACCAAATTACTTTACTTCCAGCTTACATTTAGAACAATGCATAAAAATAATATCCTCAAATAATTAAAAATACTAACTTACCTAATCTTCTTCAGAATCTTGATTACGTGTCCGATAAACTTTTCTTATTTCCTCCGCTAAATAAAAAGCAAGCGTACGTGCGCCTGTTTCAGGATCTTTAAAATCATACTTATAGTTCACAGCAAGGTACCAGGTAAAATAAATAACTTAATAAAACATCTTTACTTCTATCTCGCACAACCTTAAAGAAACACTTATTACTACCCCTTTCAATCCCACTAAATACCCATTTCGAATTCACTTTAGTTAAAGCCATGGGATCCAAAAATTAATGAACACTGTTTCACACAACACAGAATAAAGCCAAATACAAAATTTCCAGATTTTTTCCCCTTTTTTTCCCTTTTCCGATTAAAGAACCGTAATTCGTCCATTAATATCACATGACATATCCCATGATCTCTCATTTCCCTCACACAAAAAATGCGTAATCGGAACTGAGTACTGCTCACATTGTTACCAAAGTCCCAGGTAGTAACATTTATTGCCTCCAAAATGTCGCCAAACTACAAGTTACCATATTCTGAAGATCAGCCGATTTTTTTTTAAAGTGAAAGTAGGTCGATGTGCACGTGGATACCGAGTATGTGCAATTCTTAAAAACGCGTCAAGCAGTGGGTGATTCTGCACTTTACCCAAAATTCTATTGCCGACTTTTCGTCATGGGCAATTCCCAAATCGTTAAATCCATAGGATATCAAAAAAGGATTTAAAAATTAAACTAGTATTTCAATGGCATCTTAAGAAATATCGAACTATATAAGCTTACGCAATCTGAAATCAACGCGTACACTAAATTTAGCGCTCTGTTAAATGGGCACGGTTGCTAGATTTGGTGCTTTTGCGCATACATTTTCGCTACAATTTTCTTACTTTCGCTGCAATTGGTGACTTCATATAAACAACACCTTGGTGAGTTCAACAAAACATTTGGCAATGAGTCCAGTCGCAATAACAGAACAGTACCCAGGCTATTCAGCTATAAAAAATAATAATACAACAAAAGTAAATTTATATCCATTTTTAATATGTGAGAATTTAATAAAGATTTTTGTGTATTTTTCAGAAGCTTTGCTTATATAACTATAAAAGACAGACTACCTGTTATTCTTGTCAAAGTTGTGGATACCTTGTGTCAAGATAAGCATTCTATTGAAATGACATATGGAGAGGTATGGAGCTGTTATGTTTTATAGCTGTATTAGATTTTGTTAAAATTATCTGAATAATTCTTTTTGAATATATACTTATATTTTACGAAAATCAGGTTATGCAGTGTGAGTTTTTACAGTACTTCCATATTAACACCACCGCAGCTGCAGATTTGGCGATTTTTAAGTGCCACCAATCTACAGCTAAAATTTTTGCGACAAATCATAAATTGAAACACTTTATTTAAATTCAGAGTAGTCAATTGGATTTTGGTGGAAAATGGGCCGATATAGAGTTTAACATAGATTCAAAACACTCTATATTTTCTTTGACCTGATGCTGTCGCCATACGAATTCTGCTAAATAAGATTCTGAATGATGTCTTGCTGTCCCCTTATGTCTCTTGTTCCTCCATTTAGCACTGCCTCACATTCTCTCACTGTTTGTGTATGGACTCCTGTATAATGATCATTAAAATTGCATTTATGATTAACTTTAGCATCTAAGACTCCTTCTTTTTCAATTCTATTTGTTATAAAATTAACATGCAGAGAGATGGCTAATTAAATTTTGTATTTAATTAACAAAAAAAAAGTAGAGAGAACTTGCGTACGTCTTACTGTTTACATGACAAATTTTAGAATGACAAAAAAATAGTGATGCCA